GCTGAAACAAAATCAGTAAACTCAATAATGATATTTATTTCACTCCGTTAATTTAAACATAAGAATCTTTACTACAACTGCTACCATAATTAGCAGGTGCATTATCTATACCTACATCTAAATGGCTATCAAATTCATCTTCTGATTCCATTTATTATAAAATTACTAAGGGTAGGTGCACACATTTAAAATCAGACTTTAAACAAGCTATTTGGATTGATACGTTTTTATTTATTCATTTGAAAAGGATGTTAACATATTAAAATGTGTGCGCACCTCAAGGAAGGGTGTTAATGAATTTTTCTGTTTGCTATGTTCTGTAGACGCAGATTAGCATCAGGTAGATATAATAAGGGTTAAAATTGGGCGATCGGCACCATGTGGAAATAAAGTGTTAATGGTTTTAGTTTGTCTGGGAGAATACCAAGCTAAGAGCAAAATCTGGGTGAAATATTATGGTTGCAGTAGTAGCTTTGAAATGTTAATAAATCAGCCTCTCTCTCAAGTTAAAATTATTGATGAAGTTAATTGTGATTTACTGAGATATTGCTCCATGGACCTGCTGAACGTTGGCTATTGTTCAAGATTTCTATTATAACATGCCATCTTGTATTTTGACTTATATTGGAAGACCTTGACCTATATTCTAAGACATTATCCTATATTGGAAGACCTTCAAAAATTTCCTATTCTTCCAGGTATGCACTCAATGATGATGGATTCAAGCGTTTACAAACCATCCGCTACGAGAGCATCGAGGTCAGCCAGCAAGTTCTTGGTCAGAGGTTGACCACACCAGGTGAAGCATCTGACTCAGCCTGTAGGAATGTTGGTGCACCTGTGCCTCTGGGGATCCAGACCACCCGTGCCCTTACTGATTCAGGGGAGGTTAGAGAGGCTGAGATTGGTGAGGAGATTCAAACTAGGGACTTGGAACTGGAAAACGGGAATACAGGGGACACAGAAACACCGGGGGATAGAGTCTCGTTTACTGAACAGCTGAAAACATCGACAGGTGCCAAGAAACAAAATAAAAATGGTCGGGGTGGCAAGGCGAAACAAATCCCCGAAAGCAGACATTGTGAGGATGAGGTTGTGACAAAGAAGCAGAAGAAAGATAGCAGCAAGGGGAATCCCCCGAAGAGACAGAAAAGGACAACTCTGTCCCTAGATCCAGTGGAATTGAACAACTTAATTGATCCCCCTTGTGTCTCACGTCTGTCAGAAAAAACCAACTCTGCTCACAGTGAGGCGACAGAGGAATCACATTATTCCATGTTCACAGGTCCTGCGTCCTCAAGTAATACTTTAAATTTAGATCATTCTGTAACTCTGCCAGGGGTGCCTGACCCCACCACTACAGCATGTGACCTGATGCATGCGTCTGACACTCACACTGGTCTGGCTGGAGACCCCAGGGTCGTGAGCGTATCACATTCCGAGGTCAGATCAGACACCCACCCGATGCTTCCCCCGGTTTACACCAACTTGGACAGAGTTGTGTTGCCCGCGCAGTCCTTCAGTTTTGAGTTCAGTCCGGTGAAACAGGAACCCCACCTTGGGTCTGCCCCTGTTTTCACTGCAGGTAATAATTCAAATTCACAGCAAGGCGTTTCTAAATTTGAAATAGTATCCTCAAGTCTGGAACCATACAGCTACAATGTTGTGGCCCATGTTGTGTCCACAGAAATGGACTTAAAAACCCCTCAGACGTTATTCAATGCTCTTTGGAGCAGTGTTAAAAAAGAAGAAATCTCTGAAAGCCAGCCTGAGCAACACTACACATCACAACCATTCTGCGATCCTAGACCCAGCAGGATTTGTGCCAGTCAACCAGGGTTTTCCTCCAACCCTTGCACCAACCTCTCATCTACCAGCGGTGAAATTCATGCTCCCAGCTCCAATGAGTGTATTGTTTCAGGGTCATCATGTCCAAACAAAACGGACTGTTCCGAGCTGGCCGGCAGTTGTGTCAGCACTGTGGCTGTCTCCAGTGGTCAGCCGGTGTATGTCATCGACCCTCAGAACCACAACAGTAAACAGTATTCCGGTTTCAGCTACGGACATGACTATGACCTTGAAGACAGGGGCAGCCCGGTCTCAGAGCTCTACAACCTTCAAATGTTGGGTGAGGTGGCGCTCAACGTTCAGGAGAGTACTCGAGAAGGGAAAGACGGCTTGAAGCATATGGCGAATGGCCTGTAATTTCTCTTTTGACAATCTTTACCGTTGATGTCATGTGACATGAGTTGTCATACAGCTGTGGCACATGTCATGTCATGATGACCTTATGCTTACTGTTGTTTTCGTTCACAGGCCTGCAAACTATAGGAAGATTTTTTTTTATATTGGGTTACTTACATATTTTATTGATATAAACAATAACAATCCATTTTTTATATATTTTAATTCTCCCATTGTACTGCATTCAGTTTTTTTACGGGTTTCTTACAATTATAATAAAATACATGTCACATTAATACATGTTGTTTCCATTTCATGATAAAAGCTTTTTGTTGTTATGAAGGGGGGGGGGGGTGGTTATACTAGTTCTGTTCAGTACCAGGCCTAGCAGTTTTGTCACACCAGACAGTTCTACACATGGTCATGTTTATATTAACTTTTAGTAATTTGTTGAAGGTGTTGCTGGAGGAGACAGAAATTGAAGCCTTAAAATTAGCAGTCTTATTTAAATAATGAAATTGTAGAACAAGGTATTTTGAAGCTTGAATCAAAAGACTGGACAATAAGATGGGAACGTTTCGGCTTAGAGCCTTCTTCAGCGAACAAGAAAAATGAAAATATGACAAGAGACAGAACACAGTTAAAAAAACTTCAGAGATGAACTTATTCTGACAAATAGGTATAAAAAAGATAAAACATAATTATTATTTAGATTTTGTATACAGCTTTAAGGGTTACTAAACAATTTTTTAACTTAAAAACTAGCGTAATGCATTATACAATCGGATACTTTTATGCTGCATCATATGGGATACTAATAAACTATTTTTTCAGCAATCCTTCTAGCTGTTGTGGTAGCAAAGAGCTGATGACATATACTGCATCATGTGGGATACTAATAAAATAAACTATTTTTTAAGCGATTTTTCTGGCTGTGTTTGGTAGCAAAGAGCTGATGACATATACTGCATCATGTGGGAGGATACTAATAATAAACCATTTTTAAAGCAATTTTTTTTTTTTCTAGCTGTTGTGTTATCAAAAAGCTGATGACATCTCTGTCTATGGTACCTAGTCGACGAGGGCATCATTTTAAATAGAAGGCACAGCGGAAGATGTGAGCCCTTCCGGAGTTATCTTAGATGTACTAACATCAATTTTAGTTTAGAGATACAAACTACATTCTCATGTAAGAGCTTCAGTGGGATCACTTACATTAACTATTTAAGCTACATGGCAGCTTATGTAAGTTAAATTAAGTTGCATGGCAGCTTATGTAAGTTACATGGCAGCTTATGTAAGTTAAATTAGGTATTAAGTTACATGGCAGCTTATGTAAGTTACATTAAGTTACGTGGCAGCTTATGTAAGTTACATTAAGTTACATGGCAGCTTATGTAAGTTAAATTAAGCATTAAGTTACATGGCAGCTTAATGTAAGTTAAATTAAGCATTAAGTTACATGGCAGCTTAGGTAAGTTAAATTAAGCATTAAGTTACATGGCAGCTTATGAAAGTTACATTAAGTATTAAGCTACATGGCAGCATATGTAAAACATTTACTATTTCTTCTCATAATTCAAATCCACCCATGTCTGAGATCTTCCCGTTTGTTAGAAAATCGTGTCATTACGTACGATTCTCCAACAATCGCTTACGAGATAATCAGTGTAATCACTAACATTTTATTTTTATGTGGTTTCACTTGCTAGGAACGTGCTGTCAGCATGAACAGCAGTAGAGACTGACAGCATTAACAATGAACAGCAGTAGAGACTGACAGCATTAACAATGAACAGCAGTAGAGACTGACAGCATTAACAATTAACAGCAGTAGAGACTGACAGCATTAACAATGAACAGCAGTAGAGACTGACAGCATTAACAATTAACAGCAGTAGAGACTGACAGCATTAACTATTAACAGCAGTAGAGACTGACAGCATTAACAATGAACAGCAGTAGAGACTGACAGCATTAACAATGAACAGCAGTAGAGACTGACAGCATTAACAATTAACAGCAGTAGAGACTGACAGCATTAACAATTAACAGCAGTAGAGACTGACAGCATTAACAATTAACAGCAGTAGAGACACTAGTAGAGACTGACAACATTAACAATGAACAGCAGTAGAGACTTACAGCATTAACAATTAACAGCAGTAGAGACTGACAGCATTAACAATTAACAGCAGTAGAGACTGTGACGTTCTATCACAGCAATAACAGCAGTAGAGACTTAAATTTAAACAAGTTTCGGATCTTAAGTCTAAAGCTTAGATTAATAATCAAACTGCCTTTTCTTCCATAAATAGCATGGACACCAACGCTATAGGCCCTACATATACAAATATTCAATCATCGACATCACCTTTAAAAGCCTGTTTAAAAAATCAAATTAAAGCCAAAACAAATTTCCTAAAATAAATTAAATTTAATACACGATGACGTCACAATGTCCACTTGACGGTAACAACTGTCCTATTTATTACTACGTGTTCCAATCCTCCCCTCTTTTTTTCTTCCGGCGTTTGCCCACTCCCCCATTTTTTTTAAAAAATTAGCATTGACAATAAGTACCTCTAAGAATGAATATAATACTTAAATTTTGACCCTCCAAAAATACAATGGCATTAATACCGTACTAAAATTTCATGTTTACAAAATAGATCTAGTTTTTAAAATGGCGGTTTTCATTGGGGGGGGGGGGGGGGGGGTAAAAAAAAAATTTTTTTTTTTCTTTAAATAATTAATTTTAAAAATATTCATTTACAAAGCCATAGCCATATCTGTTAATTGCTAACAAGGAAAAGGCTCACCTTGCCGTATTATACAAAGTGTCCTAAATATTAATCACCTTTTTATATAAAAAAAATAGTTTTCAATGGTCTTCTAGTATTGTTTGTGAGTCAATTTAAAAAAAAAATCATTCCAATCTTTTTATCAGTAAATGCCGTTGATGCTTTCAAATAGTTACAACACTTTTTTAAAACAAATTTGATTTGGGGCGTCACATTATCGCATTTGAATCTGCTAGGTATTACACCCTTATAACACTTTTGGTGTAGAAAAGGATCCGGCATATCACCGAAGAGTCGATCAACGGGGATGATATAATTTGTGTTAAACGTATTTTCCGTGTATAGCATTTTTAAAATTGGGGATCAAAATGACGTTCCTAGAATGGGAAAACACGTTTCCTTCATTTTCCCCTTCAAAAATACATTTATTTTTACTACTAATGCTACATACCCAAATACGTCACAAAGAAAAAGCACGTAGAAACAGCGAGACAATTCATCTCCACACTAAACCACGCAACCATTGAATTGAACAAATCACATTTCATCCATATTCCCCTTGAAAAACAGGAGAAAAAAATATTTTTGGGGGTGGGTCTGAAAATTTGATAGAAATTCTATTAAAATTATATGTGCCAAGTTTCAGCTCGATAGGTTAACGGGAAATAGATCAATTAGCCCTCTGGAGATTTGTAACAAACCCAGAAAGACATACACGAACAATCTCGAAGTTAATATTATAAAGGATTTTTTAAAAATAAGTTTTCTGACATTAATTTGGAACCGTCCCAAATTGTTGACGAACATCCAAGCTACAGCCATGTAAGACTCTCCGCTACAAGGCAACCACTTGCGATGTGTAAACTTTGACCATTCCGTCCACCTGTGTTAGGGCCACTTGACCCTTGTGGCCAGCATAAATCCCACATGGCTTGGCAAGGCCTTGGTCCGATGTTAAAATTTTTCTCATGACGTTGCCCGAGCCGTCCAACAACACGATGGAGTTGGTGTCACGGTCCGCCAGCAAGATGAGCCCCGATTCGTGGACCGTGATCCCGAGAGGGCAGTCCAGGGCGACGCTGCTGCTGGACTTCAGGGTGAAGGCCACGTGACCGGACTGATCCAAGCGGAAGAGGATTTTTTTCCCGCTGTCCGAAACGAGGATGTCTTGCTGTCCGGTGGTGGCGCTGTTAGATGCGGCTGCTTGCACAGGAGTGGGTGGGGCTCGAACACTGTCGTTGATGGTCGAGTACGCCACCGCAGGGGTCAAATACATCGGCCTGGCTATGGACGCCCGGTCGGCTTTCTGTGCGAAGATGTTTTTAATAATCTCCCCTTTCTCCGTAAGAATGTCGATGCAATCACATTGATTGGTCGCCGCTACCATAACTCCGCCCCCAAGTGACGCGAGGAATGAGTAGAATTTCTTCACGCGGACAGAGCTGAGGATCCGGACGGTGCCGAACAGAGATAAAAAGTAGATAACCTTCTTGTTCATGACGGACACGGCAGCCTTGCTGTGCGACACGACGACGATGCGGCTCGGGACCGCCTCGATGAGCACCCGCGTCAGGAGCTTGCCGGACTGGTTGAATTTCTTGACGCACTTGTTGTCCCTGTCCGTCGTGATGACGTCGCCGTTCATTAGAAGAACTATGTCCGTCAACAGCGGGTCCACCACGTCGTCGCGCGTGCCGCCATGAAAGCTCGTCATCAGCGTCAAGGAAAGGTCGACTTTCCCTTCCTTCGCCGGTTCAGGTGCTTCCGCCACCTTCTTCTCCACTTCCAGCCTCCCCAAGGGAGACGATTTTAGTGTCTGGAAACAGTTGTCGTCCTTGGCGAATGTGATACCGGTGACCTCCCTGTCTTCGCGTTGACCTTCCATCCTCTTCTTATCGGCCTCCACGCGGCACGCCAACGCTGGCAACAGTGGCAGCAGTTCGCCCTCACTTTTGACGCTGAACGAAAAGTTCAGGACATCGAGTTGTCTGTTACAAGCGCGCGCCAGATTACGCGCGTCGACCTCGCGGGCAATGGCACTTTGTTTCATACCGTCTATCATCCGATTGGCTTCGTCCGTCAAGAGTTTTTCCTTGGCAAGAATAATGTTGACCATCTGCGTCCTCGTGGTCTTTATATCCAGCAACAACTTGGTGCGCACTTCCTCTATCTCGACCAGCCTCCTCGCCTGATCCTCCTGCACCTTTTGGCACTGAACCAAATTCGTTGCGATGCCGCTGTATATGGCGTCCAGCACGTCTTTTTTAGAATCCACGGCTTCTTGAATGCCAACGAGGTTCTGGCAGCGCTTGTGGAATGACGCTACGCACCTATCGCACGCAAGTTGGTCGCATTTCGCGCAGAACTTGTCTGCAAGATTATCGACATGCATGCTGCACGGGAAGACAACGGGTGGTTTGGGCAAAGACGGTCGTCTGGCACCGTCATCCACGTCAGCACCGTCGTCAGTGTCATCATAATCTGGAGTGACGCTCTCCCGTCGAATCTCTGACGCTGGAAGCTCCGCTAGGCGGCGCTGCAGGGCCTCGTGGGCAGCCTCGTTTTCGACAATTTTCTCGAAGGAATGCCAAGGTCGCGCTTGAGCGGACCTGCGGCTGCCCTCGTCCACCACGCAGAGGGGGCAGAAATACTTGTCCCCTGACTTTTTGCTGCATTCATTTCTGAGACAAGGCAGACAGAAGACATGCAGACAGGGTAGGAGGTGTGGGTTGTTCAGTGCATTGTTACATATACTGCAGGTTAAACTCGTGCTATCTGCTTCCGACGTCATTTCCGGAAGTTATGCCCTTTTTTTTTCTTTTTTTTTTTTAAATTGATGGACGGCCGAATTGTTTATCTGAGGTGTATATATTTTATAAATCTGGCAAACTTGACTCTAGAGTTAAAATCAGCAGCTCTCCAATACACCCACTCTACTGAATGTGGTCAGGATTGCTGCCATCTGTTATAAATAGTGGCGGCTCTTGTCCAATCCTTGAAACTTTGTTTACGTTCAACAGAGACACATTCTGTAGGGGAAAAAAACAGCTAAAGTTAATGAGTATATAATATAATATACGTCATGTTTGTGTTACAACAATTGACACGCCCGCACACGTCATTTGATAGGTTTAGGGTGGGGTTGACGGGAAAAGTTTGTTTGAAACCTAATTAAGGTATAACCAATCATCAATCGAGGTGTGGCTGATCTGCAGTAGTGGGTGTGGCTGGTAACACAGATGTGCTGAAATTTATTATCTGGTAATTTAATTTTTAGTTATTGAACGATTCATGAACCCACTCAAGCACTGCAGTGGTTTAGTTCTGCACACTTTAAATAAGTGATTCCCAACCTGTGCTCCACGTGCCCTTTTCAGGGGCTCCGCGATCGCTCCAGGGAATTAAAAAAAAAAAAGCTTCCCCTTAACACCATGACCGATACTTGTAAGAAATGGTCGGATTAAGGGATTCCACCGGCCCAACCTCGCCCCCACCCATAAATCGATTTTATATAGGGGCTCCTCGAGTAAAAAAAAATGGGAAGCACTGGCTTAACTGAAGATATTAGGCACGCCTACAACTGAGTAGATTGTAATTCTCAGTAGTGCCTTGTTCTTTGATCCAACTCTGACACCGGAGAAAGAAAAACAGGGGGAGGGGGGGGGGGGGGTGNTATCGTTACAGCCCCAAGCTATAGAGACTTACACTGACAGAATGCCAATAATGCAATCCTTAGAAATGGCATCGAGGCACGTCCCTCTCGCCCCCCCCCCCCAAACCACACACTTTTTTTTTAAGACCTCTTTTTGTGTGTGTGCCGATATCGGATACTAAACGTATTGGTTATTGATCATCAACTTTGGCGTGTCTTGCTGACATGAGATAGATTAAATTAGAGTCTAACCCTTTCGGTGATCGTAGTTTAGAATGTTTAATCGTACATTTGTTTTAAAGAACGTCTTCCAATGAGAAGTCTTTGGATACAGAAAGGTATAATAGGAGAAAGGGAGTTCACTGCACACCACGCAAAGAAGCTGAACCATTTTCACACAACCTGCCCCAGGAAACTCCTCGGCATCAGGTGGCAAGACAAATTTCCTGAGCAATGGTAGTTCACCGACTGCAGCAACTATCCCCAGCCCACGGTGCCAGAGATTTTTCCGAGCACGGATCGGTCTAGCAAGCCACGTACGAGCTCACCATAACCCACCCTCCCCCCTAACCGGATGACGCGATGGTCCTAGTCGATTTTGACGGACGAACAACATCAGCATATATTTAATACCGCAATTATGTCTTTAACTTAACTTAAATGTATAATTTTTTGTTGTTTTGTGATCGTTTGTTTAGAAACGTTTGAATATCGTATTTGAAATTCTTGAAAAATTAAAGATTTCTCAAAACCAATAGCATAGCCTAATTAGTAGGTTTTTTTTTTTTTTTTTTTTTTTTTTTTTGGGGGGGGGTGGTTTTTTTTTTTTTTTTTTTTTTTTTTTTTTTGGGGGGGGGGGGGGGGTTGATTTGTGTGCGCTTGTACTGGGAAGGCATCGCGGCCATTGATTTATCTGAGATTATTATATAGCTTGGGATCATGATACTTAACTGAAAATGAGGTCATGCTAAATTTAAACAAAGTAATATCAATTAGTTGAATAGACATTTCGTTTAAGCGGTACTCAAGATAAGTAATTATCATTGTATTTCTTTTCACACAACTCTTGTCCTAAGATATGCCTCACGTGGCCTCAATGTCACGTGTACAAAAATGGCGGTAACCAAATAATCACGTGTACAGACATTTGAACTTCGGTACTCACGTATGAAAAGTCAATCCCTTGATATGTCGTCTCAGACTTATATGGACTCCGGGTTCAACAGCTGTCAGCAACGTCAGGAGAACAATACGATGCAGTGTCTCAATCCCACGCGACGACTGTGCTGTGTAACATTTAGCAGATTCCATTCACGCCTTGCTACCGTCCCGACCCTGAATATATCCGGCCACGTGATTGGACTTGGTTGAGATTGTTTTCGTATGTACCCTCCGTTCCTTTTGTATACTGTGTGAGATTGGTACGGTACCTAACATGGCATGGGCGCCAACCAAAATAGTTCAATGGACGATCCTCGATTTGTAGTAGGCCTATATAATATACCGATGTGGTCACAAGAGTTCGGGAGCCTACTATGGAACCGGGGTGGGCAACCTTTTTATGTAGAGTGCCGCTTGGGGAAACTATTGAAAAATGTGGCGCGCTGCAATTATTTGTATTTCTTTAATGATGATTCTTTATATATGTTCTTAAAATTCAGTTCGAAATCAAACAGTTTAATAATTTTTAAATTTTTTTTTTAAATGTGCTATTATTATTGTTGTTATCGCAGTTTAACAATTGAACACAATGGTTATAAATTATCGTGTGACTTTTGCTATAATCTTTTACAGTGTTTATATTTTAACGAAAAGTTCGGGGAAAAAATCAGCAAGTTACCGGAAGGACTTGCAGGCCTCATTTAACGGTTCAGCAGGCCGTAGGTTACTCACCCCTGATGGAAAACCGTCATATTTCAACTCGTTATAAGAAATAAATAAGAATAAATATATAGATCTAATGTTTGTTTTCTTATTGTCAAATAGAAATATTTGGATGTTGTTTTTTTCTCTTCAGAGAAAAATGAAGATTTTCCACGACAAATGATAAAAACATTGGTACCTATACAAATGGGGGGGGGGGGGGGGGGGGGGGGTGTGTTTTTTTTTTTTTTTTTTTTTAGCCTTAAAAGCAACTGAGAAGAAATGTAAAGCTTGAGGTTGGAGTAGGCCAAAGTTAACTTTAAAATGACTATTTCCTAGTCCCTCCATTGTTTTTCAACTGCATACGCCCACGACAGCTTGACGTTGAACAATGGTGCACGGGTAGAATAATCGCGTAGGCCAGGCGGTCGATTTAACCGTTCGGATCGAAGGTTGGATCGATAAGTCAATGCGCTTAGAATGGTCGATTTGTTCACAACTCCACGGGCGTCATTCACATGTTGTGACATGTTTCTTCCAGTCATTTCACAGTTGTTGTTTGTTTATGTTTCCGTGTAGCTGTTTCATATCTGGAGCGTCTTTAATCGGTTTCTTTATTCTCGACTCCTTGTTAAGTTCACGCCTGCCTAAAAAATAACGGTGAGATTCTGTGACTACTTTAATTCCTACAGACGGGTCTTATATGTGGCTAACACATGCATACTGAACTGCAGGTACTTTTAACGAGGTTTTACAACTGACCATAAGTGTTCTCATTGGCGTAGCTAGAGTTAGTGCCGCCAGGAAAGGGGGAAAGGGGGGGGGGGAGCAAGACTTTTGTCGCCCCACGTTCACGAAAAAAAATTCTGCAAGTGTCCGATAATGCCACTCTCTCAATATAATCAAAAACAAAACACAACATTACTGCCTGTGGCAGACACCGCCCTCCGTTCTACACCATGGCTCTTTCCTATTTTTATTTTTTTAAATTATATATATATATATATATTGGACTGAGCTAATCCATCAGGCAAAACATCCGCTGGGAACTTTTCTATAGTAACCCAATAACGCGAGACACACTGACCATACAGAAGGGTTTTTATATGTGGCTACTATTGGTACATATCTATACAGAGCCAGATGTTACATCGCATGGGCTACACTGACCCCATACACATGCCGTACGCTTTTTTTATATTTAAAAAAAAACCGAGAATCGATTTAATTTGCTAAATCTGATTTGTTTTTGAAAATGTTATTGGGTTTGTTTTTATAAATACCACATAGGAAGCGGGTCCGGGGAGGAGGGACACCATTATTTAACCGAAGCGGGTCCGGGGAGGAGGGACACCATTATCTCACCGAAGCGGGTCCGGGGAGGAGGGACACCATTATCTCACCGAAGCGGGTCCGGGGAGGAGGGACACCATTATCTCACCGAAGCGGGTCCGGGGAGGAGGGACACCATTATCTCACAGAAGCGGGTCCGGGGAGGAGGGACACCATTATCTCACCGAAGCGGGTGACACCTGCCCTAGTATTTTTTTTAATAGCAATGGCTTTTAATATTGACTTTAAGAATATTTCCATAAGGTGGTGTTACGGTAAGAAGAGACACACGAGACACGATTAACGTGCCATGGAAGACACAATTCATTTTCCATGTTAGACACACACAATGCACATGCCATGTGAGACACGATACTTTTTCCATGTGAGATGCAACATGT